TGGACGTTATTTATGTTACTCCCTTTAAATTCCAAATAAATGTTAACTCTGTCAGAAGTGCAGGCACTTGGCGATCGCCGTGTGATTACAGCAGTTCTTGACTGAGTGAGATACTAATACAAACACACACACAAACACACACACACACACACACACACACACACACTAACTCAACCGCACACCAATCTTGGCAGTGCAGAGTTGATGCTCAGAGTGATTAAAGTGGCGTGCCTCTGAGTGTGTCACCTGGGTGCTGCTGTATCTTAAATCAGGACAGTGGGGCTCAGATTGGGTATTGACTGGCCTGCAGAAGTCTCCATCCATCACGCTGAGAAACGATAGCACAGAGGCAGCCCTGATGTACCCATATACCACTGATGTTGCTCACTGGCTTGCTGAGGTGACGTAAGGTTAGGGTTATGGCACAAACTGTTATTTATGTTGCGTGGTAAGCAGGCAGATGTGGACTGACAGGCAATGCGTCAAGATATGGATAAACCCGTGTTCAGAAGATAACACAAAGGCAGACACACCTGTGACAAACACTGGATGACAGACACATATGCTCAGATGTGCAGCACTTATCGCTAGAGATAAGACTTCCTTTGCTGTCTCTCACTACCAATGATACACACACACACACACACACACAGACGTACCACTCGGTTTTGAGGGCCTGAGCAGCATCTTTTGACTGTGTGCCTAATGATAATAAATGAGCCATCATGGATGGGGAGGGAGACACTAAGTCATCCCCTTCATCGACAGGAGTAAGACTGGGAGCCCCAAGGTCACCCCACTGTCAGCATCACTCTCCCTAACGACTGCTCGCTCGCTCACATGCACAAATTCATACATGCACACATTCATACATGTGCACATACATACACACACACACACACACACACACACACACACACACACACACACACACACACACACACACACACACACACACACACACACACAACACACACACACACACACACACACACACACACACACACACACACACAGACAAAGCGGCAAAAAGTGCACCATGCCATGTCCAAACTTAAGCACACATACATACGCACATGCTGGAGACCTCATGGCGAAACATACTTCAAGAAACTCAGATGTATTTATTTTCAAGATAATCCCTTACATTTCTTGGTCATTTTGACCAAAGAATAATCTCTGTCAGGGGCAATAAAAGTAGAAAAATGCAGCATTTAACATAAAAGCAAAGATAAGCTGAAAGTCAGAAATAGTTTTATAGCACACCTTTTTTAAGTTTAGTTTTATCCTATCTCTTGCTTAATATCATTCAGAGTTACCCCTAGGTTAGAAACCTGTTTTCTACTTTGAGTTTTAATTTAGAAAAAAGGAGAAAACCCATTTGAACCCATCAATAGGAAGTTATTTGCTTGCTCTCAAAGCATGATTTTTTTATACATTACCAACCCGTGACCTCACCAGTAAGTATACATAATATCACCAGCCAGCGTTTCCCCTTTAGCTAAATAGAACCAGATCAGATCAGCTGAGGAAGACAAGCATAACAGAATCATGTCTTTAGAAAACCCCTGACCCTCCTGATTTCCAGCCCTCTCCCTAATGAGCTGCCACGCATTGTCCTCTCTCAGAGGCACAGATCTGAATTCAAATCCTGAAAAGGGGGGCCAAGTCAATTCCTCCAGTCAAGAGACACAAACTAAGTCCAAACAAGTGAATGTTATTAATGCTGTACTAAAAATGTAAGTTTGTGGGAGAGAGGAGGCATCGGAAGACGCGTTGAAGAAATGAACAGGAGGGTAGCGCCTTCACTTTCAACTGTGGGAATTATTTTCACACACACACGGGCACATAGATTACACAACCACACACATGCATTGGGCACACACACACACACACGCACAGGTTGCAAGTTTAGACTGTAGCTGTAGAAAGCTAATTTGCACCACATTGAAATGCATCTCAATTAAAGAGAAACACATCGAGGTGCCAGGGGAGGAGAGATGTGAGAGAACGGGAGGGAGGAACGGGGTGTGAAACAGATAGTGTGGGAGAGTATGAGAGTAATAGAAAGGGAGGGGGGAGTGAGCTCAACTGTATTTGGCAAGGAAAGAAGGGAGGGAGAGAGAAAGAGAGAAGGAGAGATAGAATGTTTTCATCTCCCTCTCTTGGAAAAACTTCTCATTTTGGGATGAATCAGATTTAGAAAGGGTGTTAGGAGGTTGAGGCGCAGCTAAAATCCTAACTAACTTCAACCTCGTTAACACCAGCTCTTTGGTGTGATGCCAGCTCACCAGGGCTGTCCCTCTCAAACTGTGTGTGTCTGCGGGTATGTGTATGTAGTCAGATATTTTTAAGCCCAAGGCCGTGTACTGCTTGACAGAAGGGATGGATACCTACAAGACACAATAGGGTTTCACCTGAGTAAGTAGTGTAACTGCAGGCCTGCAATAATGTGATTTTGGTATTTTGAGAATATGTTGAACAATTTGTCACCTTAAAAAAATAATGAGTACATTAAGTGTGTAAGTGCCTATTATGTGTGATTTTGTAAGTGTGCGTCCGAGAGAACAAATAACAACCGGAGGAAAGAAACACACAGATACACAAACACACACACAATCTGTCACATGGAAAAAATCAGGATTGGCTTTGTATTCCGCCACCATTTTTCCCGGACTGTCATGTTCTTAAGACTGTGATGATGCTGCCAGCCCACCATCTCAACAACAACACCAAATACAAGTCGATTCATTCTTTCATGCTGTCAAAAGATACTCAACGTGTCTACTTTCTTGCAAAAGCCCCTTAACCCGGTGTTTGCCTCTGTTTCAATATAAGTCATGCAGCTCTTATAGTGAAGAGCATTCTGGGAAATTAAGTCCTTTTGATATTGTTCTGGTGTAAGATACAGCACCTGACTACAGTAATGTTTTATCATCAACGTTATTACATCATTATCATTATGATGTAGTGTCCCTTATCAGTTTTTGTGATGATCAGATTTTTAAGAGCCAGATCACTGTCATCATCATCTTGACTGCCATCAGCGACACCATGTCAGCACATCATCTGATAAGACATCACCTAATTTTCACCTGGCGAAAAACTGATGGGGTCGTCTAGGCTAAATAATTACTTTGTTGCATGATTGCCTGGCCATGCCAACAATGAGATGCACATCTCTACAATAGCATTTGTGAGAATGGCAGACTGAAACCCTTCTGAAGAGAGAAGAGCAGGTACATTGAGATGGGAAGACACAGGGCACTCTTCATTTCAAATCAATTTCCTTTGATATATAGCTACGTTTACATTTAATATAGCTAGAAACATGAGATAAATTCTGCTTTTGTGATCATATTCTCCTCCACTCTCACCTTTAGCTTTTTGGGCCACTGAAAAACCGAGGAGAGAAACAGTGCGGTATGAGGGACCTGCTGTTGTACAGGAAGATACCTGAGTTATGAGACAGTCTCATTTACACTTCTTGTAAGAAGCTGGTCTTGTTAGGTCATCCCTTAGCCTCCCCTTGTTTGTCTTACAGTCACATCGCTAAACAAAAAAAAAGTATCAGCCTTCTTTTATATAAATCTCAGACTGGTGACAAGCATGTCAAAGCCTGGAGAACCTACTGTGTATCAGTGAAGGCACTGACAGCTAAATATATAAATATATAAGCTAAAAGAAAAACTGCTTACATGGGTTTTCCTCTTCCTCCAATACTTTGAGTTAGCATAATCTCTCCCTCTCCCTCTCTCTGTCCCTCTTTTCTTTCTGCTCACTTATTCTTTACTTGCATACACATGACTGAGCAAAGCTGGCACACACACCTACTCACACACAACACACACACACACACACACACACACACACACACACACACACACACACACACACACACACACACACACACACACACACACACACACACACACACACACACACACACACACACACACACACACACACACACACACACTAAGACATACACATTCCTGGGTACATGCTTCACAATGACAGCCCCATACTGTACATGGACAATAAAACACATCAGCAAACTACTCAGACAACCTCCACAAGCACTTTCTCATGTCCTCTGTTTCTTAACAGTGCCTCAATCTGCCCTTGATGACACTGCTTATGAGCTTTAAAGCAGCTCTCTGTTGTGTGCTGACTGATCGACTTGTCATTACATTAAGTAGGGGCTCTCTATTAGTGCAAATGGTGGCACATAACCAGATAATCGGCTGTGGACAGCAAGTGTGGCTATGTGGGAGGTGAGATGCTAACGGATGGTGTGTGGGAGAGTAATGTTTTATGTTGGAGGAAGTGTGATATCTCCATTATAGACAAGCTTAATTGATAAACAGGACAATAAAAGCATCAAATGGCCCCATAGATTTCTGCCTACAGCACAGCCAGCAGTACTGTAGGATGTCAGTAACACTATAAATATGATGGGGAGTAATGGCAATGATAATAATAGCATATCAAGTAGAGGATTAAGAACGATATCAGACATAATTGAAGAGAAATAAAAGAGTAATAAAACCCCTCGTAAAATAAGGGGAGCCGAGCTTCCCTGAGGGATCCCTCAAATGTTTCTTTCTTCTCACACCCCTCACTCCTATAATCTCTCCTCAACTCCCTCACCCCGGCCCGGCTCTACTTTACTCAATTCACCCTTCGTGGTAGGAATACTGACTGATAATTGTCACAAATGGCCACGTTTAATTACCATGCATAATGGGCTAACATTTTAAAGACAGGAGCGAGAAAGCTTCGCCACCACGCGGGCTTTCTTTCAGCTCCGGGCTTTCAAGAGCAAACAAATCATGTAACGCTATTTTAAGTGTGATTTAAAAGAAGACAAAAGTGCCCGGGTATTTTGGACACGCCCGTTTCAAATCATTAAAACAAAGCCACATGGGACACTTTACCGTTTCCCGGAGATTGTCAAATGATTAAACAAGGTAACATTTCGGTAAAAGTGTGCTCACCAGAATGTACGGATCAGAGCTCGGTGTACGGAGAATCCCGAGGAGTTTCCCTGTCTTTCTTCACCCCAAGTTGAAGGCAGCGATCAGACGCGCTCCCACAGTCCCGACTGAACTGCAAAAGGAAAAGGTAAAACCACATTGAGAGAAAGCACGTCAGCCTCTCAACATCCCGGGCGGTAATCGAGGTCAACCACCCAAAAAGTACATCAATAATTACACACGTTTATCCCACTAATCCGGGACTGTACCTCTTAAACGCGCCGGGATGACCACCATTGAACGAGACGGAAAAAGGACCAGGCAAGGCAGCGGCTGTCAGATTTGACTTCAAACTGATGCTGACGATGCGCACCGAGATAAGCTCCGGAGGAGGGGAAGAGGGGAGGGGGAGGGAGAGAGAGAAAAAAGAGAGGGATGGAGAGCAGGGGTGCAGACAGATTTAGAGAATTGAATTAAACAATCCAAAACTTAAAAGTTATTCAACTAGGTCAAGATATGAAACACAAAGGACCTAAAATGAATTATACCACATTAATTCATGAAAAATCCCAATGTTACAGAAACTCTCAAAGGTTTATGGTTGCAATACAATACTATAATTCCTGTAGAGTCAACATGCCCTGAGGCTAACAGCCACAAGCAAGACGGGGGTCCTGCTGCCACACACACAGATGTATTACAATAAATGCACCGCATGTCTTTCAGATGTTTTAGGCGGCTTACTTGCATCAAGAAAGAAGATAATTTGAACATGAAAATGGCAAAAAGAAGGAGACAGGATGATAACTGCAAACAACATTTACAATTATGCTTTACAAAGCAGCATCCTCAAAGATGCTTTCAAAAGATGACCGGAGACTTTTTGGCTCCCAGCCAGACTTACAGTACCTCTGGTGGCGCCGGCATATCTAGAGACTCGCAGCATTTGCAGTGTTTATCATCCACACATTCATTTGGTGAAAACCACAAATTCAAGATTCCTTTTGATAAATGGATTGCTACAAACGAGTGACTGAATACACAAATGCTTATAAGGTTTATTTTTAAGGCAGTAGGCCTATTGGGCCACATTTTTCTAAACTAAGACCATTCTTTGGACATGTTTTTAGAAATGAACACACTTTTTGGATTAAAGCCTTTAATCAGTAGTAAAGTAGTAAGACCATATGTGCTCTTTTACACAACACATTTTTTTAATGCAGGGGCAGTTGTTTAGGCCAATCATTGACTACTTAAATTGAGATAAGTTTACATCTGGGGGGCTTACCACCTCAGCTATTATTACCATGAAGGAAACCCTACTAGATTATAAGAAAGACAGACAGAGAAAAAATAAATGCAAACAAACATGATATATGTCAAGTACGGTATATCTGTGTGTGCGTTAAAACAAATTACACTTACAAAACTTTGTATGATAAAGTACTGTAGGCAACATATGTAATGTAAAACATACAAGGATGTCTGAAAAGTTAAACTCAAATATGAGACAGGTGATACTTGTGGAGTTAAAAAGGTAAGAAAAATGCGTAGTTTTAATATTTAATTAACAAATAACCATATTTTTTTTACATAAGACCACAATACCAACCACATAGGTATTTTATTTTAATTTTATTATTTTTGTAATTCCACTTTCAAACACATCCTGCAGGCAGACGGTTCTTGTCCCACTCCTAAATATCATCTTTTTCATTACCGGCCATCTTGACGGCTTGGTAAATGCAGCGACTCACAAATTAGTGGTGTCAGGCTTCTCAACACTCTCCGGCCTGACACAATAGAACAAATATATATAGGCTACTACAGGAGAAAGAGGAGAGAAGATGGATGAAGTGAGTAGAAAAAGGGCAAAGGTCAGGGTGAGATCCGTGCATGGGCGTCACAGCCATTATATGAGGATGGGACAAGTCCCCCCCCACTTTTTCAAATGATTAGTTTAGACCCCCCCACTTTTACTATGCGGAAAGTCCGTGAATCGGTCTATCCACTCGCCGCACTTTGTAGAGCGCTGTGTCAGTGCTTCACTATCAAATCCATTCCACTTGCTTATTGAGAGAATGCCCAAAGCAATGAAACTCCGTAGGCCTACCATGTTTTCACTGCTACTTTGTACCAAGGCAGATTCTCACATAGCGCGCGCATGTTCAAGGAGTGTTGCCATAGGTGAACAGCTCAGGGGCCTCATTTATAAAGGGATATACGCTCAAAAAATGGCGTACGCCAGTTTCTACGCAATGTTTGCGATTTATAAAATACTAACTTGACGGGAAAACGTGCGGTCCTCCACGCAAACTCTAACCCATGCGTACGCACTAAGCACAACAACGGGAGAGACGAGAAACTGCGACACCGTTGGCAGAAGGAAGAATGGAGAGAAATATGTGGAAATAATACCATAAACAAAATGTTACCTCTCATTTATCATATCAAGAATTCATTTTCAAACATTGATTAAAGCCAATCTTAAAATGATTAAACAAACGCCTGCTGAGACTCCTCAGTGCACACAAACACATAACTTGGAGAAATAAATATATACGGATATGTTATTTAAAACCACCTCGAATATGTTGTGTTAATGTTATGAAATGTTTTCTCATAAATTATGTGGTTTTGCATTTCTATAGGTTGTACGAGCATGGTTTTATATACTAGCATGTTTAATCATGTATTATGCCGTTTGCTAAGACTTGATAAGTCGCTCATAAAACACAGGAGGTATGGAAACTAAGAACACCATATGTGGTAAATTGTACAGCTAATATAAGTTATATTAGCTGTACAATTTACCACATATGGTGTTCTTAGTTGCTGGAATTGGGCCGGTACTCACCGGTACGCAGTACCGGCACTTCTGGTTCTGACCCATGGAGTACCGGCACTTCTTGCTCAGTACCGGCATGCTGGCGGTACTCCGGTACTCATGCACCGTGCCAGTACTCAACACTCTCCCGCCGTTCTTATTATACATCCATATATATATATATACAGCCGCCCGGTACTCAGTAGATGCGTCATGAGGTGCCGAACGGACATTCTCATCGCTCTAACCGCTGGAGTTTCACAGCGGCTGTCAGCTGTTTACTCCTGTCATTCAAACAGAACGTGCTGGAGAGGGGGCGGGGCTTATCTTCTCCATGTAAATACTGTGGTGGAAACGACTATGTCAAAATTAACCTATTTGACCGTGATTTAATAGTAATACACGTTTCAAAATAATAATAATAATAATAATGCCGAAGTAACAACATACTGAAAACTGTTAGTAAAACCATGTTTTAATGCTTTACAATTTACATACCTAGATGCACGTGTGTTGTGTTTATGCAGTGCAACTCCCACCCAGTGGGTGGCTATGTAGAGTGATAGAACAGAGCAGGCACGCCCCCGAGAGAAGGAAAGCAAGTCACGTCACAAATTAGCATTTCTAAAATGTTAGCGTGGATTAATAAAGTGCAAAAAGACAGCGGTTGTCGCCGGAAGAAACTTCAAATACAGAGAATGCTGTGCCTGTGTTGGAAATTGTGTCTGATGGGGAGCTTTCTTTGGTTGATCCTCCTGCTCCAAGTTCTAGTGCATTAGCATTAGCACTAGCTCCGCCGCCTCCTCCAGAGCCTCTAACGTTAGCTGCTGCTGGCTCAACTGCCACCACCAACACCGGGCAAAGCGATGCACCTGACTGCTGGACAACGGACCAGGTGCAATATTTTTGCAAGACCAATGCATGGCTCCTTCTTAAAGATAAGAAGCTAGGATGTCGGATATGCAGAGATGTCAAATCTTTGGGAATACACACTGGACAAGGACTGAAACTGTCAACTGAATGGGGTGAGTGTGCAGTGTCTCATTTCGGTGTTGACAAGGGCAAACAACAAGCTAGCCTGAGAAAAAAAATCAAAGAACATAAAGAATCACAAGCCCATGTAAAAGCTGCTGACATCCTTACATCTGCTTCACGTGAAACTATTCAACATCAAGTGCAGTCTATGCATAAATCTGAATTAGACACCACTATCAGAGTTTTTCGAACGGCATATAAAATTGGCAAACATAGCCGGCCATTCACAGACATGCCAATTGATTTGAATGTACAGAAACTGAATGGGCTGAACGTGGGCAGGGTTTTGCACTCCAATAAAACCTGTGGCGAAATCATCGACCACATAGCTCATGAGCTGAAGAAAAAAATGGCAAAAGACATTACAGAAAACCAAAGAAAACTCTGTGTTTTGGTCGATGAATCTACCACTATTAGTGGTAAAACGGTGCTTGTTGTGTGTCTACGCTCAGCATTAGCTGATGCTGAGCCCGAAACGTTTTTTTGGGAGCTGATCGAGTTGGATGGAACAACGGCTGATGACATCACAAAGGCGTTAATGGAGTGTCTTGGAAGAGATTTTAACGAGGACTTTTTAGGTCAGTGTTTCGTTTCTTTTGCATGTGATGGGGCTTCAGTCATGCTAAGGAAGAGAACAGGCGTTGCTACCCAGTTGTGTAGTAAATTCCCAAGCCTGTTTGTGTGGCACTGCTCCAATCATCGTCTAGAGCTGGCAGTTGGGGATGTGGTCAAGGAGGTCTCAGGGCTCAATCATTTCCAGATCTTTTTTGACAAACTCTATTCCTTGTTCCATGCCTCCCCCAAAAATCAGAGGCAGTTAGCGCAGTGTGCGCAAGCAGTCGGACAGCGTCTCCTGGTGATAGGGCGTGTTTTTGTCCATCCGCTGGGTGGCTTCAAGTGAAAGGAGCGTCAGAGCAGTCTGGGAAAACTACCGAGTGCTTCATGATCACTTCACAAATGCTGCAAACGACACGAGCAGGGATTCCAGAGACAGAGCAAAGTACAAGGGCCTGGATGATGTGCTCACATCTGCAACGTTTGTCAGCAATCTGGGACTGATGTACGATGCGCTCACAGAGCTCAGCGACCTCTCTCGGCAACTCCAAAAAAGAGAGATGACACTGCCTACAGCAGATAGGCTCTTAACTCGAGAAATACGAGTTTTTGAATCCATGCTCACCATGCCTGGCCCACACATGACTACAGTTCATACAGCTCTAGCTGAGAAGTCCTTCAAGGGTGTTGCCCTGCGTGAGAATGGCAGGCTTGTACAGATTCATGCAGGTCAGTTTTTCCGCAGTATGGTAGAGAATCTGAGACACAGAATGACTTCCACAACCTCCTCTCATGTCAGCACAAGAGAAATCCCATTACATGGCCGGGAGGCCCGGGACAATCAGCTAATCCAGGACATGAAAGTTATCCATCCTGGAAGTTGGCCTGAAGAGGAGTTAGACGTACAGTATGGGGACGTAGAGGTGCTACGTTTGTGCGAAGTGCTGAAAGTGGACAGAAGAG